CTTTTACATCGACAATTGTGAGTACCACTTTTCCCATTTTCAGTGCACTAAAACTCGAGTTTAACTAGAAGGGTTCTTCTTAGAATAACTTCAATCCAACTCTCCATTTTAATTACTCAANATTAAATCTAATTTAGTGTACCTCCTTCCAATTTTCGCTAAAAGAAATACATGTGGCCAGTTGTTCCATATGAAAGAAAATTAGCATTGGGTGGGGTGTCTCCTCTAAAAGTTGTAGTCCATCTCCCCCCCCACCCACCCTTCCCTTTTTTTTTTTGCAGTCTCTTAAATCATTAGGGCCCATATCATATTTTCATGTTCTATAATCATATGCAAAAATTCTTTCCTTGGTAAATGGGGCGTGACAACTAGTGAAAAACTTTTGATTTGATTTGGTTCTTGATAAGAAATGATGTGAAACCATTTGGGTGCAATAGGTGAGGTGCCTTTCTAAAAGCGGTAGTTAGCAACTTTCTAATTTTAAATTAGCATAACACTTATGACAAATAGTTAGCCCACTAGCATGCTTGTTTCAAATATTCTTCATTTATGATTGCACTAAAGGTTAAGTAGAATTTGGGGGCGATTATATTATCACTAATGCACTGAATCTCATCAGAATTCTGTAGTTAAGCGTGACTTATAAAAGAAAAAAAGTTAAGTAAAATTTATTAGAGTAGAGTGTTAATTAATTTAACGCTAATTAAGATAGAAGATAAAAATTTGTGTGGGTCTTTTGCATGTGTTTTTAAATTTCCTTTATTTCGTCTTATTTTTTCTTTTTACTCAAATGATACAAATGAAAAGGAAGGCCTAACACACCAAACTCTTTCTATTATAATAAATAGAAAGTTTATTTTTGTAACTCAAACTCTTGATACCCAAAATCAAACATATTACAAATATCATTCTAACTTGACGGGAGAAAAAAAGTTGACGCGAAATAATAAGGATCAGACCTATATCAATCAAAGGGGACGATGATTGTAACCAAGCATGCTTTTACATCGACAATTGTGAGTACCACTTTTCCCATTTTCAGTGCACTAAAACTCGAGTTTGACTAGAAGGGTTCTTCTTAGAATAACTTCAATCCAACTCTCCATTTTAATTACTCAAAATATATTTAAATATTATATTATCTATTTTAGAGAATCACTTTTATAAATTCACTCTAACCACATTGTCTATTTTAGCTAAATGCTTCAATTAACTTTCAACAATTTGAAGGAAATTGCAACACACACACACACTATATATATATATATATATGATAAAAAGACTCAATAAGTCTACTATCTTTTTCAAATTTGACCTCAAAAGTGGTTTTTGGCAAATACAGATCCACCCTATGGATAGGTATAAAACCGTTTTTACCACCCCTTTCGGACATTATGAATGGAATGTCATGCCTTTTGGGTTAAAAAATGCCCCAAGTGAATTCCAGAACATAATGAATGAATTCTTTAATTGTATCAGTCATTTTTCTATTGTCTATATAGATGATATACTTATCTTCTCCAAGACAATAGAAGAACACTGGAAGCACCTCTATACTTTCAATACAATTATCCAACAAAATGGATCAGTATTATCTGCACCCAAGATTAAATTGTTCCAAACCTCAATAAGGTTTTTAGGATACAATATCCAGGATTCTACTATCACTCCTATTAGTAGAGCCATCCAGTTTGCAGATAAATTTCCAGATGAAATCTTAGACAAAACCCAATTACAAAGGTTTTTAGGTTCCCTAAATTATGTTTCTGACTTTTATCAGGATCTTAGGAAAACCATCAAACCTCTGTATGACAGGCTCAAAGGAAATCCTTCTCCTTTGACCACTGTTCATACTTCTATTGTTCAACAGGTCAAGAAGTTCATAAAAACTCTTCCCTGTCTTGGTATTCCGTCTGTTGATTCTTTTAAAATCATCCAGACTGATGCCTCTGATGTTGGTTATGGTGGAATCCTCCTTCAGAGAGAATCTCCTAATTCTCCTGAACAAATTGTTCGATTCCATTCTGGTATTTGGAATAAAACTCAAAAGAATTATTTCACTATTAAAAAAGAGATTTTATCTATTGTCCTGTGTATCTCTAAATTCCAGAATGATATATTGAATCAGAAATTCCTTGTGCGGGTTGACTGTAAATCAGCCAAGGATGTTTTAACCAAAGATGTCAAAAATATAGCTGCTAAGCAAATTTTTGTTAGATGACAATCTATTTTAAGTATTTTCGATTTTGATATAGAATATATCAAATGAGAACATAATTATATTCCTGATTTCCTAACCAGAGAATTTTTGCAGGAACCTCATGGCGGACAGGAAACCTAGTTCATCCGGAACTTCCTCCAAAAATACGGGGGGAAAAAAGGATAAACAAAAACAACTCAAATCTGAACCTGACTTGCCAGTAGCCTTGTCAAACAGATTTTTATCATTGGAAACTACTCAGCCCAATAGGCCAGTAGCCCAATCTGCCTTGGTTATTCGGCCAGTAGCCGTATCAACCACTGTCAACCCACTTAGCTTTACCCAAATGGCCCAATAGCCACTTGTCAGGACCACTAGTGCCATGACAAACCCTTATAAGGCCTCACAACCCTTTGTAGCCCAACCAGGCCCAAAGGTTGATTATATCAAAGTCTATTCCCAGAATGTCCTAGCCATTCAACTAGCTCATTCTAAATATAAGGATCCAAAAGACCTTGTAAAGGCCTACCTCCCAACAGGTTGGACCTATATCCCAGTAAACTTGGAAAAACTTCATAGTTTTTACCAAGATATTCTCTACTACACCAAATCTATCCATACCAAGCCCATTCATGATAAGATAAACCCTAACAAGGTTCTCTATCATAATATGGCTATAACTAAAATTATTTCTGTTGAAGAATGGGGTTCTCACCCTTCTTTACTTCGAGAACTTCCTTTTCACAACAGACAATTTAATTACTATGACTACATTGAGTCATGGTCTAAAATATTACTCTACCAAAATGAGGATTTGTCCCATTCTTGGTTCTTGAATTTCCATAAAGATTTCAAAAGCCATATTCCAGCATGGTTTAATCAGTGGTGGCATCAACATGGCCCCATTGAGGAAATCTTTCCAGCTGATCTTAAAGATCAGATCAATATCTTTTACTCCCTTTACCGTCCTAGTAAACAGGAGTCCCCATTACCCTTATTACTAATATTTCTTTGCAGGTACAAAGTCCCTTGGATACTCAAATGGCAATGGAAAATTACGGGATTCAATTTAACCCGACAATTCTATGCCAAGTGGTGGCCCAGGTTCCAGCATAGTGACACTATCACAATGGTGAAACAGGACTTCCCTGTAAGGATACCAACTCCAGTAGTAGTTCCAGGTTCCTTACAACCAGCAACACCAATGAAGGAGCTGCCCGCTCAATCAAGCCAGGCTAAACTCCTTATGGCACAAGCTCAGCCAGAAGAATCTTCATCCNTCAGTAGTAGTTCCAGGATCCTTACAACCAGCAACACCAATGAAGGAATTGTCCGCTCAATCAAGCCAGGCTAAACTCCTTATAGCACAAGCCCAGCCAGAAGAATCTTCATCCAAAGGTTCTAAAAAGAAGTCCAGCAAGAAGAAATCCAAGGCAAAGCTCCTTAAGAAGCTCTTGGAACAACTTGACTCAGACAGTGATTCATTGTCTTCCCAAGGATCTTCCTCAGCAGAACTCCCAGCAGGATATGCTCAGGATCCTTATGAAGGAATCGAAGACTTTGATGTTGATGACCTCACTCCTGACCTTGCACTCCCGTGAATTATTATTTACATAAAAGTGGCTTCAATCACTACTTTCTTCAAAAGAGAAAGAAAAGCTGATCACTCTATGTAAAGATAATATCACAAGTCTGCATAGGATCCTCTTTCCCTAAAAAGCAGGATTCTCACAGACAAAGGCAGGACCCATACTCTGCTTTTCCACCGAAAGATGGATTCTCAGGACAGACAGACAGGACCCACTAGTCCCTTCAGCAGAAACTATTGAAATAAAATATGCTACCAAAACTGTTACTGCTACTCCCTTTAAGATTTCATCTTCAGTAGAAAGACCTCTAGTCAACCTACCTGGAGAAAGGAAGAATTTAGGTTTAAAAGATAAAAACCTAATTCAACAAATTGATGCACTCTTATCCAAGAAGGAATCTACTAGTACTTCCCAGATAACAGTCATCAACCAAACTGAAGAAAGTTCAGAGTCTAATGCAGAATCTGATAGTCCTGAAAACACCACTGATTCTGACTCTGAAATAGAAAATTTAGAAAATCAGTTTAAGAATCACAGTATGACCCAACCTGATTCTAAAATCAATGCACTGGTTAGAGTCCCTACCAGCTCCACAAAGAACTGGTATTCTAGACCTACTCCACTAGATCTTCAGTATGAAGAAAAAAATGTGTTAAATCAATTTTCTATTCAGTCTAACAAACTCTATGAATGGAACATAGATGGTCTAAGTGAACAGGAAATTCTTAATAAAATTAGTCATCTATCCATGATGTTAAATAATTATATGACCAATCTAGATAGCCCTGAACCTGAGATTGTCAAACTAATAGTTGCAGGATTCACAGGTGTTCTTAGAAATTGGTGGGATAATTATTTAACCCAAGAACAAAGAGACAGTATCTATATATATATATATAGAGAGAGAGAGAGAGAGAGATTGGAGAGGCTAAATGACTCTTCAAATTTGGAGAGTCATTTGAGTGAAATGAGAAACAGAAGTGAGATAGAGAGTGGATTGGAGAACTTTTTTATTGTTTGACTAGGTAAAATAGCTAAAAAGAAAAAATAGACGGTGGGTTGGAGTTGCTCTTATTTGTTATGTCAATATCAATGACCCCTTTTCTTGATCTTTGCTATGGCTTGAGTCAGTAAACTTCAGATGAGACATTGATAAAGGATTGTTTCCAACCCAGCTTGTAAGAAAGAAAATCCAGCAAAGCCTACAGTATGTACGAGTCTCAGAAAATTACTTTCCTTGATGACTGGGTCCTGATACATATTTAAGGTGCATCCTCCAAAAACAGCACTGCAGACATCACACGCCAGGAAATTTCATAAAAAGTACAACAATGTCCACTATTCGAAAAATACTCTATCCCCTAGTCTTTGCAGTTGGAATCGATAATCAGACACAGAGACGATTGAATGTAGAAACTCAGAGAGTCCCCGGTGAGAGAAAAGGGCATGCCAGAAAGGAAAAAAAGTCCCTCTGCCATGTCAAAACTCAAATAGGTCATTGGCTCATTGCTACTTCTTCCTGTGTTGACATGCTTCAATGCTTGATACACCCAGACATCCCTTACATCTTTATAAGCACATCAAGGTTCACCCCTTTGACTTGAGATAACTTTTCCCAAAAGCCCGTAATCGTTCCATGGCAGTTCGAATTGTCTCTGATATAGTGGTGTAGAGACATCTTTGTGCAGCCTCATCCAGTCCCCAAGGTGTAGCGCTGGGCCATCCAGCACTGGAAAGAGATAGATCCCCAGTCGTGGATAGTGCCATCTGCCTCAATTTCGGGAGGTCAAATTCTATTGGCTCACCAACAATTATGCTTATATTCCTATTGCACAATGGCAAAGGAGGCCTTCTACCAAATAAATAATTCTCGGGCATAACCTGGAAATTATTAAAATGATAAATACTAGGAGAGCAAACCTGAATAAATACACCACAGTGATTCAGATAATACCTATTGTTGCACATTTTAATGCAATGCTTAATTATTTTCCTAATTCAATGTGTTCATTCTGGAAAGGTGTAAAACTGAGAACACACAGACAAGAAGATTTGATTTTAAGATTGTCAAATAAAATATCAATTTAGATTTTTGGAATGGCCAAAGAAGGTTATAATAATGGACTCTGGTAATTTGCTAACAAAAAAAGAATAATATGATTCCGCAACTTAGAAATGACCCAATTAGCTACAGCTACGAGACAACTGTTCTAATACGACTCGCAGCAGTTCTAGACCATCCTAATATTAATATCATTAGAGCTTTAAAAGCATCCAAAACTATGAACAACAGGAAATAAATGTAGCCTATTTCAAGCAATCTGAGTTTGGGAACAGTTCTCATGCAAATACGACTATGGATGTTGATTGGGAAATTGTGACTGATGGAGGCAAACAAGCTGACAATATATATAAACAAACTGCGAACGAAAAGGCGAATAATGCAGGATGAAAAAAAAGGAAAACAAGTTTGAACAACCAGTGATATCCTGCTTGCGTTCAAAGTGAAGAGGAAAAGGAAATAAAGGGACAATTTATCTATGAACCAAATCCGCCTCATATAATTTCTGAACCGTTAAAGAAAAAGGTACATCTTAAGATTTTGTCAAAGCACGTAAAATAACTATCACAGTAAAATTACCTGTTCAAATCCATGATGAACAATAGGCAAAACTATTGGAGTTACATGGGCACGAGTGATGAGACTGGCTGTTCCCCACTTTAAACGTCTTATAGGTACATCTTCTTGAGACACCTTGCCCTCTGGAAATGTATGCAGCTGCTCACTTGTCATGAACAGAACTTTAGAACAGCTATTGCATGTTTTTAAAAAATGGAATTCATAAGCAGAAAAGGAAATGCTGACCAGCCTAAATCATATTAGTGTATCTATCTATCACAACAGGCGGGATAATATATGTCGCTGATGGTTCCTATGAAGGACAACCGTCAAATACTTCAGATCCCATCTAGTATGCAATGCAATTCTAGGTTAAGATATGCTGTAGAAGGCTTTGGAGAGCTTTCTATTAAATAAATTTGTACCAACGATTTTCTTATCAAAAAATCTAGATCAACAACTAAAACCAAACAACTGGAAGACAAAAGATGAGCCAATTTCAGATGTATATATCATTTGTTTGAGGCAAGCAATCTGCATTGAAACTAAATCACAATCAATTAAATAGCATGCCAAAGAACCTTTAATTGCACAAATAAATGTAAAAACTTAGAGAAGAGGCAAAGAGGAAACATTAGAAGATGAAAGGTCAAGGATAAGAAACATAGTACTAAAATTTAAGTTTCAGATTAACCATGCAGATTTCCATGAACAACGAGTTTGTCAAAGAAAACTTTTGAACTTTTCAATAATTACACAGCGAAGAAGCCGGTGTAGAACAGAGAGGTAACCCCCTAGGGCTTTTCTTTAATTCAGTCCACAAGACAACTCAAAAAAGAATACAACACTGTTGAGAGACTTCAATAAACTTCAGTGATTCTGAACTTCAACTCAATGACAGAGATGGAGGTGAAGATGGTCAATGATGACTAGAATAACAAATACAAGAAACCATAATTACACCAAACTAGATTCCTATATTTTCTCATCCTGAGCAAGATAACTATATTCCTAAAATTACCAAAATTACCTCTAAATCTATTCCAACAATCTCAAAGCAAGGGCATTTCTAATAAGAAGTGTCACAGGTTAACATTGCCAAACACAGGCCCCAGCCACAATGCTTCACATACCAAATCGCCTCATCAATAGCATTGGGCCTCAATAATTCTTATGGACGGATCAAATCATATATTCCAATGGATAATGATCTAGGAAGTTACAAACATGGGTGTCGTATCCGATATGATACGGATACGGGGATACGACAAAGTTAAAAAATATGGGACACGGGTACGGCAAGGATACGGCTATTAAAATAATATAATATATTTTTTGAATAATAATAGAGTTGTAATATATTAAAANACAAGGATACGACTATTAAAATAATATAATATATTTTTTGAATAATAATAGAGTTGTAATATATTAAAAATAAAACATATATTATAACAATATTAATAATAAGACCTAGCAAATATTATTTTTTTGATTAAAATTGAAATAGATCAAATTAAATATCCATTATTTTCATTAAACATTATTGCATCTATTAACATTCATAGTATATAAGTTACGTAACAAAAAATAAATATTTAATAGTTAAAAGTTATTTTTTTTTAAAAAAAATTCTTGGCCGTATCCTAGACTGGCAGTGTCCTAGAGACGTATCCTGGCCGTGTCCGATTGAGTTCACTATTCAGGACACTTCTAGCCATGCCAGACACGTGTCCGGCCGTGTCCTGGCCGTANAATAGTTAAAAGTTATTTTTTTTTTAAAAAAATTCTTGGCCGTATCCTAGACTGGCAGTGTCCTTGAGACGTATCCTGGCCGTGTCCGACTGAGTTTACTATTCAGGACACTTCTAGCCATGCCAGACACGTGTCCGGCCGTGTCCTGGCCGTATTCGTGTCGGACACATGTCCGATACTGCCACGGCACCCCTGTGAGAGTATTCGTGCTTCCTAGATAATGATTATAATGATCACATATTATTAAAAAAATCACACAAAACATATTTGGAGATGCAATTTCATTCATCTGGGAGATACAACATCATGTTAATGACCTGTATGAAGGCCATAACAACGTTAACAATAATTTTCACAATAAAAAATATCCATCAAGAAGTATTAGAGTTAAATCTACAAGGTAATAGAGAGAGTACCCAAGCCCCATCATTTAGTCGATCAAGAGCTTCGTTCATGTGTTCTTGATATATTCCGGCGCCCCTGGTAATGGGTATGCATTTCCCTGCACAATTTACTGCTAGGAGTAAGCCAACTCAAAGGGATTTGACAACTAATGATAAAAAATAAACCATAGCAAAGCTTAAGAAAGCAAAGAGAACAACAACAACAACAATAAGAACACCAAAAATAATGAGAACATTAAGAATCAATAACTCATGCTCAACAAATAGCCAAACATATGCTTATGATATTTACACCTCCATATTTGACTGGGTAATTGATGATCCCAGTGATTCTATATCTATATTTGAACCTCATTCTATGATTTGGAAGACAAGAGTTCCTATTAAAGTGAAGATGCTTGATTAGAGAAAAGGTGAATACTTGTGATCTGTTGTAAAAGAGAAGGTCAAACACTAATATTTCTCCTCATTGGTGTATTTTATGCAAGAATAGTTGTGAAAGTGTTCACCATTTATCCATCACTGCACTATTGCTCGTTTCTTGTGGCATAGATTGTTGGTGGAGGCAGATTTGGTATGGGTTACACCCCTTAATTGTGCTTCTGTTTTGGTAATGTGCTTTGGCAGTTTTGGAAATGATAAAAAAAAAAAAAAAGCTTCAATTTTATGGCACTGCGCAATATTAGTTATCTTTTAGGTTGTTTGGATAGATAGGAACTGCAGAATTTTTTAAGAAAATGAGGAATAAAAGGAATTGTTATGGGATAGAGTTATGTGGCTTCTTTTATGGGTTGTGGTCACAAAGGGGTTTCATAGAACTACGTTATCAGTAGTCCAATATAATTGAAAAGCTGTTTGTAGTGGCTAGCTTTTTTATTTTGTTTATTTTGTTTTGATTTTCTTTGCTTTGTTTTGTTTTCTCAGTGGATTTTTTATCGNTAGAGTTATGTGGCTTCTTTTATGGGTTGTGGTCACAAAGGGGTTTCATAGAACTACGTTATCAATAGTCCAATATAATTGAAATGCTGTTTGTAGTGGCTAGCTTTTTTATTTTGTTTTGATTTTCTTTGCTTTGTTTTGTTTTCTCAGTGGATTTTTTATCGACCATTGATGTATTTTTTTCTCTATCAATGAAATGAAAGTTTTGTTTACTATCAAATTTTTTCCTTTTTTTGACTAGATAACCCAAGTATTTCCAATAATAGGTCTTCCACACGAAACGCATTAGAAATAGTAGTACAGACCCTGCACTTCTCAACATCATTCATCGACAAATTTAAGATATGTACTTTGTATGTTCAATTATCATGGAGTTTGTTAATCTACCTTTCACAAACATCAATAATTCAATGCAACGTTCTATGGATATAGTCAAAGACTCAAACCGTTGTGCTATTCATCTGACATTTTCTCTCAGACTCTCAGTTAATTTCCTCAAATTCTCGTAGCCCAGATTGGTGGAAACCCAGAAAAGTTTGAATTGTCTAAATCAGTCTTTACCTTGCTATAGTATCTGAGATAATCTTGCTCAAGTAATAAATAAGAAAAATAACATGCTTGAAAAGTTATTGGCTAAGCAGAACATAGCATGGAACACCGCTTTGCCACAATGATAATATATGCCATGAGGATAATATATAAAAAACCTCCCTGCAATTATTTTCATATCTCATAAAACAAACAATAAAGAATACTTAACGTTTGCCTTGTTCCTAATTGATGTTGCACAATAGTTTTACTTCCAAGATGAGGCCACACTGTGTCAAGAGTTAAGACCATATTGATTGATTACTTTACAAACTCCCAGCCTTGAATTTCATATTGCATTTCCAGAACATCCCACCAAACGGAACCTTTGAAATCGGTTTGGCAGCTAATGAATAGTGATACTCAAAATTTTCAAGAACATTCAAAATTAACAAGACTTCCAATTTAAGTAATATGGTCCAAGAGAATTCAAAACAAAATTAATAAAAATTCCACTACTTGATATAGCAAGAAGAAAACTGAGAGAATGTAAAATACAAAATTGATCAATATCACACACCAAGCCGGAAAATATATGAAAGCACCGCATTTTTAAAGCATATATCTTCAGCAGCTAGTACCCATCGTGCCAATTTTGAGTCGGCGGTAGGAAAACCCTTAAATCCCCACATAAATGGATCATCCACCCTGCAGCAGTCACAAAAATATAAGAATCCCGGTAACAAATCATAAACCTGTAATAATTGCAGTCATTTAAGAGGAACCTACTATAAACACTAAGCTAGAGAAAAGCATGATTAAAAATAATCCCCATGTGCTTCTTTACTGGTTGTTTGAGCATAGGTCTGTATTAAGTACGTCCGTTTGCATTCTACAACAACGAATTCAACTCCAACTCCAATTCCAATTCATGGTATCGAAATCTTACCGATCAAAAAAATAATCAAAATCTTACTCAAATAAATATATCAAAACAGAACTTTTTGTGCGCGTGTGAGTGTGAAGGTCGAGAAAGAGAGGGAGAATTAGAGTGAGAGAGTAGACTAACTGACTGACGTGGACATATGATTGCTAACAGTGATAAGAGGAACGCCAGGAGGTCGGGAACGGACGAGGCGGATTAGGGTTTCGGCATTGTGGACGGAGGTTGTGTTGAGAAGATTTGCCGCGGCTTTTGCGAGAGCCCCAACCGCCATGATCACCAACTTCCGGGGCACTCCTCCCAAATGATTACTACGCGCTGCCCATTCCATCGTCCGTCCCATGCGTTTTGTTGTTGTGCTGCTCACCAGCCACCCGCCGGAGCGCCGGACTCCTCCGGTTCAGCCGCCGTGACAAAGAGGACTGGACTTTTCTGTTCTTAGGGTGGAGATCTCCTTTTCTTATGGCTGNACCAGCCACCCGCCGGAGCGCCGGACTCCTCCGGTTCAGCCGCCGTGACAAAGAGGACTGGACTTTTCTGTTCTTAGGTTGGAGATCTCCTTTTCTTATGGCTAGGCATTGACCAATGACATGGAGGCACGTGGCAACAAGACTAAAACGAAATTAGAAACACTACTGCCACTTACCAAATTTAATCGTTGGATTGTTCATAAATTCAATTCACATTGTCAATCCAATTCAATAGATATCACTGTAACGGTTGATTTACTGGATGAGAATTCAGAAATTTTTGTTTCATGTTTGGGATCGGGTTTGCATTCGAGTCTCTATATATATTAATTTAGTGAAATTAAACATATTTTTTAATGCCCGAAATATGCGATAAGACCTTATCTTCAACCCGATGCATATAACTGCGTGATAATATTTTCCGACGAATAAGAGAAAAAATCCAATTCAATGGATAGTAATAAATCTAATCAACAAATTTAATCACACTATGTTACNCTTTAGGATAATATTTTCCGACGAATAAGAGAAAAAATCCAATTCAATGGAGAGTAATAAATCTAATCAACAAATTTAATCACACTATGTTACTTTATTAATTAATGTTAAGAGGGCCAATTCTTCTATTAAAAAGGGAAGAAGGTGATATTAGATATTCACATCACACATCAAGAATTGGTACATCACTCTACTGGGTAGACAGGTTCACCAAATATGAATTACATCCAACCATATAGTTCAACTGAAAATCCTCAAGCCATCGTAACAACTGTTCAATCATCTTTAATCTAAGAGCAATGTTGTACTTACCAAATTATTTATCAAATTTTAGATCCCAAATTAGTGTAGATAATTGGATCAATAAGATCCACTAATTCCATAATTAGTGTACTTTTGTAGTAAACTCCCTTCGACTCCAAAACGCCCCGAATCCACGGTTTAGTGCAAATGTTTGAAGTATCATAGCCGGTGAAGGGAGTAAGTTTTAAAAGCAAAATAAGCACGAGGGTAAGAAGAGAAATAAATGGTACTTCCAGAAGAGTAAGATTGCATGTCTCAGGTTCAGGGCATCAGATTAGATTGTCCATAAATGTTTCGCAAGTTTCTGATTCTCGAATCTTGGAGATCAATATCGCGTATGTTCTGTCCCTAAGGTTCAGATTCGGTAACAAAACTAATGGACTTCTAATAAAACGTGATTGGATAGACATAACACGATACAGAGGCATAACCACGAGTGATCACACCTACTAAAAGCAACTAAGACGTGATGAAGTGCAAAATAATAGGAACTTCTGGAATCTTCGGCAGTAGAGAGTAGACGAGAAGTTTCGTGGGAGGATAGAAATCTGCTCTGCCAGTCTCAGTATTCAAGTGATCCAAGAGATGGAAGTCCAGAAAGAAGGTCTCGGCTGTCAGTGCCACTGCTGTTCATCCTTTCAACAGCAATTTGGCTCAATGATTCAGCCTCTTGCTTCCCCAGTTTCAGCACGTCCTCCGGTGAAAGGATCTTGATATACCAGACATTGTTCACAAAAGCCCTGCACATAGAATTTGTGTATTGAGTTCATAGAAATCATGATATGGTTATATAGGCTGACAATTCAATTTCAGCGGGTAATCCAGATGTTCAAAATTTTCCCCCCAAGGATATCTTAGTTAAACCATCAACAGGGCCAAAGAAAATATATGGTAAACAGTAAAACAGAAGGCTAAAAGAATATGTAAGAATTGACTCCATGTCAAATATACAGTTACAGCCAGCAGGTTAGGTCATTTATAAATGTACTGAAGTACTTACTCCCATGGGTCGTCTCCAAGGAGAAGCACATCATTCTCCCTGTCGACAAATACAAGCTGCCAGCCTGATCTTTGTGGGTTTTCAAGCAACCCTTCAATCCCGAACATCTGACCCAGTTCCTCTCGCAGCTCATGATAGCTGGTGAAACGGGTGATATCCAGTGACCTCCCAACCGACCCAGATTTGTAAACCTGCACATGCACAAATTGCCTTATCCATCCAAAAGTCTAATATACATTAAATTGTCACTAACATACATAGCTCATATCTCTAAGGCTAGCACCTTAACAAATGTACGAGTTGGGTTTTGTGGGTCAACTTGTCCTGCACTATGCAACAACTCAGACGAGTCCTCCATGTAGCCATACAGAGAACTCTGAAATGCAGAAGCCCCCAATGGCATGGAGGATATACTAGCATCAATTGCAGAACTACCAACACTGGAGACAGTCGTGGGGAGTAGGAGCCCAGATGAGTCAATATTAGCACTGTAAAGAGCTTGATTGTGGGCATCCAAGCTAGAAGTATCCTGCTCCACAGCAGCATCTTTCCCAGGATATGGTGAAAGTGACACCGAACTGGAAGAAGTATGGCCTTGTTGATGAGCAAAATTGGTAACCCAGGACAGTTGTGGTGGCTGCTCACTGAGCATGGACTGACCAGTTCTTGAGAAATTCAAAAGATTACCACTCCCTTCACGGCAAAGTGAACCCAGCATATTTTGCACACTGGGAGGAGCAATAGAAGTTGGAAATTTGGTGTTTGAAGCTGTNATGGTTATATAGGCTGACAATTCAATTTCAGCGGGTAATCCAGATGTTCAAAATTTCCCCCCAAGGATATCTTAGTTAAACCATCAACAGGGCCAAAGAAAATATATGGTAAACAGTAAAACAGAAGGCTAAAAGAATATGTAAGAATTGACTCCATGTCAAATATACAGTTACAGCCAGCAGGTTAGGTCATTTATAAATGTACTGAAGTACTTACTCCCATGGGTCGTCTCCAAGGAGAAGCACATCATTCTCCCTGTCGACAAATACAAGCTGCCAGCCTGATCTTTGTGGGTTTTCAAGCAACCCTTCAATCCCGAACATCTGACCCAGTTCCTCTCGCAGCTCATGATAGCTGGTGAAACGGGTGATATCCAGTGACCTCCCAACCGACCCAGATTTGTAAACCTGCACATGCACAAATTGCCTTATCCATCCAAAAGTCTAATATACATTAAATTGTCACTAACATACATAGCTCATATCTCTAAGGCTAGCACCTTAACAAATGTACGAGTTGGGTTTTGTGGGTCAACTTGTCCTGCACTATGCAACAACTCAGACGAGTCCTCCATGTAGCCATACAGAGAACTCTGAAATGCAGAAGCCCCCAATGGCATGGAGGATATACTAGCATCAATTGCAGAACTACCAACACTGGAGACAGTCGTGGGGAGTAGGAGCCCAGATGAGTCAATATTAGCACTGTAAAGAGCTTGATTGTGGGCATCCAAGCTAGAAGTATCCTGCTCCACAGCAGCATCTTTCCCAGGATATGGTGAAAGTGACACCGAACTGGAAGAAGTATGGCCTTGTTGATGAGCAAAATTGGTAACCCAGGACAGTTGTGGTGGCTGCTCACTGAGCATGGAGTGACCAGTTCTTGAGAAATTCAAAAGATTACCACTCCCTTCACGGCAAAGTGAACCCAGCATATTTTGCACACTGGGAGGAGCAATAGAAGTTGGAAATTTGGTGTTTGAAGCTGTGAAGTCTGTCTTAGAAAATGAAGGAGAGGGGAGATTTGATGGCTGCCTCTGCAGGAGCTGATCGCTTTGCATCAGATGTGCCTCCTGATAAGTATGCTGCTGTTCCTGTTCTTGTGATCGATTATTCACTTGTATTGGTTTGAACAGATTCTCCGGTAGCATTTGATTTTGTGCATGCAGCATATGAGGAGAAATGGATTGCTGAATGACTTGCTGTTGCTGCTGCTGCTGCAACAGTAAATTGTTGCTGCCTGAATGTTGAAGATATTGGACAGGCTGCTGTAACTGCATTAATTGCTGTCTCATTGAATCTCCACTTCCTGAATTCTGCAAACCTGAGGCCAACATGGCTTGGTACTGCTGATTAAGATCATGCTGGAGCAATGTCGGATCGACTCTCTGCTGCAGCCAGGGATACATACCAACAGATTGAAAATTCTGGGAGTGAAGTCCTTGCTCACCAGTTCCCCCTCTTAGCCACGACATGCCATTAACAGCTTCATCTCTACCATCTGTAATAAGAGCACAGGAGGAAAACAAATTAAAAACAGTCAAAAGAGAAGAAAAGAATAACCAAGAAAGAGTTGCGATTTTTAAAATGCCACAGCAATCAATTGGCTATCAACTAAACTAAAACTTAATGATGTATCGCATGCAACACAACTGCATATTGACATCACTTTTGTCCCTAAAAATTGATCCACGTGGTAATGACACTAACGCATGAATTTACAATGATTAAAAAACGTTATCTGCACCTGACACATACATGGAGTCGAGTGAGAAAATGTCTGATGCTGAGAACCAAAGTTCATCATATGCATGAAAGCCAACCATGTTTTGTCAATACCACATAATGTACTCTTCTTTTATTTTTACTTTCTTTGATGGTAAATCATTTGTTCTCCACCTAAATGACTGGGACGAGCCAAAATCATTCTAAATGTACTAAACATGCCATGTCGATAACAAATGGATAAGAAGAGGTGGCTGCACCAAATGTCAGGGTAAAAAACTATGGAAATAAGATACCTTGAAAAGATGAGGCTCCAGGATACCAAGGTCGCTTCAGCCTAAGGGGAAACAACGACGGATACATGGGAAATGTTGTCAAAGGCTCAATTTCCCACAATGATACGCGTGGCTGCCTCTCACCTGCAGTTGATTCGTCCCAACCGACCTACATAATACAAAAGAAACACTGAAAATAGTCACACATTGGGTTGATACTTTTGTTGTGCTATGCTAACAATTGGAAGCAACTTTTCTTGCAGCCATTGGCAAGGCACTACTTGAGGTAAATGAATAATGAGATACCAGAAAGTGGAAACTAATTCCAGTATATCTGCCACTAAGTTCAGAAATCTGACCGTAGGATGAATTGTCAACGGTGGTTGATTAGTGGATAAATGTTTAAACCTTTGAACGCTGCCTTCAATAGTTGAAGGTGCACAAGCCAAGAAAAATGGTGAAAAAAATAAAAGGGCAAGGTAATCAAGGTACCATATCATACGTGTTAGCAATATGCTCTAAATCCAATTATATAGATGATGTTTTAGGGTTGTACTAAAAACATTCATTACTTAATTAAATAAAATGATAAGTTTATTTATCATGTTTCTGCTTTATTTTATTTTAATATACATGATATAGTCCAGAGATGACAAGTTAAGAAGATGGTTTCTCAAGAAGTTGAGAAGAGGAGACCTATTCTTTTTAGTACTTAACTCTTAAATATTCCTAATCATAGAATTATTATGTAAGCACTATATAATCCGGATAGACTAGTATACACTATGTTTACTCATATCTGATATGAGGTGACTCGTCCAAGTCACTAGTGTAGGAACACGAAAGCAGATATGTGAGTGTTTGTTAGAGAACAAGTACATTGAACGTGACCATTGACTAAAGTAAAATTTTTCTTATAGAATTTTACATATCTTTCAATTTTAAATCCTAAAGTTATAGTTACCCAACCGATCCTTTAGACCTGAGACACCATGGTTGTCTTGCGCATGAACTTCTATACTTTAACTAGACAACATATTCATATACTAACCATGTAACCTGAATATGTATTGTTGGACATAGTTAAACATGCATGGAGACTTATGAGTGTACAATATAGAATCTATCACCCTTAATAAATAAAGAGATCATGTCTTATGTGATCTTCTAGGATATGACTCAAGGAATCTTTGGCCAAGGCAAAATAACAATTAGAAAAAGAGTTTCTAATTGATCATTAAGAGTTATAGTCCTAAGATCGAACACATAAAATTGAGTTAAGGGTTTGATAGTAATTTCATACCCTAGTGATTCAATTGGAGTATTGCAATAGAAGCATTGAATTGCATGGTAGTTATAAACTGAATGGGTTATTTACCTACATCGTGCTATCCGAAAATTGATCATGATATATGGCTAGGTCTCACTCATAATTAGTAGAAACCCGAAGAACGAAATTAATATATATATATATATATNAGACCGTATCAATAAATCAAAGCCCAAAGCCCAAACGAACCTAAAACCCAACAAGCCCAGTACCTAACCAGCCCAATAACCCAATCAGCCCAGTACCCATTCTAGCGAACCAGCCCACTACTAGATCGCGCTCTTCCTCGCAACTCTTTGCGTCACGACCTTTTTTTCTAGAGTTGTAGCTTCTAAGATCTTTTAAGAGGGGTTGAATCCTTTTCTCTGTTGATCTGCCCTTGATGCAGTAGATCACTTATTTATATATTTTGAATTTTTGGGTACCATGACCTGATTATTTGAGAGTTTTTTGGACCTTCTTTATTTGTCGCTACTATTCAACTGAAGGTATATTGTTTTCCCTTATTTTATTTCTCTATTTATCTTAGAGTTATTTTTCTGTCATGAGTGCCCTAGTATTGTTGATATGCCTACTACAGAGGGAGTTGAGACCCCTACTGTTGAGACATTTGTTAGTACTTCCACCGGATATAAGGGTCGACAATGATCGGCCCAGCGCCGTCAAGGTACCCCACATCAGCGTAGATATGGGGATTCTCGTCAGTGTGATTATTGTCGCCAACTAGGATATCTCAGGGCTACTTGTTGGAAGCCCCATCCGGAGCTTAAGCCGCCTTCTCGTAGCCGTACTGCTGTTATTGGTAAGGCACCACCACCTACAGTCATTGCTCCTGCTACTGCTCCTCCTTGGAAGAGTGATATGGATGCTATCACTTCTCGCTTGGATATACTTATGTCAGTCTTGACTTCTCGAGGTCCAACTACTACTGCTGCGACTACTACAGGTGAGGCCCATCATTTCACCTCTTTTGACGAGAAGTTACATACTTAAGTTCAGTTAGCAGATGGTACACATGCCCCTATTGTTAGTAGAGGTACAGTCCGCCTCCCAGATGGTTTTACATTACGTTTGGTGTTTCATGCACCAAAGCTGGCCATGAATCTACTATCTGTACATCAGTTAGCCAGAGATTTTCACTATGCGGTTGTGTTCTTATCTGATTCGTGTTATTTGCAGGACCTGAGTACCAGGAGGATTATTATCAAGGGACATGAGAGAGGTGGACTGTATTATTTAAGCGATCCACCTCTGGTTTCACCAGTTTCTCCACCTCCATCACCTACTGTCTTTATCTGTCCCTAGCTTGCATGCTAATATTTTACCTAGTACATGTCGTTATGATTTTTCGTCACAAACTGTTCAGTTGTGGCATGACCGTTTTGAGCATACAAATTTTAAATATTTATGTATGTTATTTCCTACTTTGAGCAAAACTTGTGTTAGTGGTAAACTTGACTGTGTTATATGGTCCCAGTCAAAACATATTAGGACCAATTATATTCCTCTCATGCACCAGTCACCCAAGCCATTTGACCTAATACACTCTGATATTTAGGAACCCTCTCTTATTACTGCTCTATCAGGTGCTCGATACTATGTGACATTTATAGATGATGTTGGGATTTCTCACGATTTGAATCCACTAACAAACACACACAATCGAAGAACAAATCAAGAATATAAAGCAATAAGAAACAAGAAAGAACAAGACACAGATTTTACGTGGTTCGGCAATTTGCCTACGTCCACGAAGCTGCAGGGATTTCACTATTGAGAGAGTTGAATACAGAGAGCGGCTGTACCATACACAATTTNTCAAGGGACATGAGAGAGGTGGACTGTATTATTTAAGCGATCCACCTCTGGTTTCACCAGTTTCTCCACCTCCATCACCTACTGTCTTTATCTGTCCCTAGCTTGCATGCTAATATTTTACCTAGTACATGTCGTTATGATTTTTCGTCACAAACTGTTCAGTTGTGGCATGACCGTTTTGAGCATACAAATTTTAAATATTTATGTAAGTTATTTCCTGCTTTGAGCAAAACTTGTGTTAGTGGTAAACTTGACTGTGTTATATGGTCCCAGTCAAAACATATTGGGACCAGTTATATTCCTCTCATGCACCAGTCACCCAAGCCATTTGACCTAATACACTCTGATATTTAGGAACCCTCTCTTATTACTGCTCTATCAGGTGCTCGATACTATGTGACATTTATAGATGACCATACCCGTTGTACTTGGGTCTACCTTTTGCATAGGAAGTCCGATGTACTCCCTATAATCACTCAGTTTCTGCAGATGATTAAGACACAATTCGATGTCATTGTTCGTACTTTTCGTTCAGATAATGCCAAAAAATATGTGTCTGATGTCTTACTGTCTCACCTTTCTTCTCAAGGTATCTTTCAGCAACTCACTTGTCCATATACTCCTAAGCAAAATGGCGTTGCTGAAAAGAAAAATAGGAATTTGATAGGGATGGTACGTTGTATGCTTAGAGGCATGGGGGTGTCAAAATCTTATTGGCATTTTGCTATTTTGACTTCTACCTTTCTGTGCAATCATACGTAGAGTCGAGTTCTTCAGCATAGGGCTCCCTTACAGGTTTTATTTCCTGAGCGAACATTTTTTTCGATCCCTCCTCATATTTTTGGATGCACATGTTTTGTTCAAGATCGGTCTCCTACTCGTCATAAGCTTGATGATAAAGCAATTCGTTGTATTTTTGTGGGCTATTGCAGTCAGTCTAAGGGATATCAGTGTTATGATCCTGTTAGGCGCCGTATGTATCACAGTCTAAATGTTACCTTTCTTGAGCATATCCCTTATTTTTCTTCCAGTCCTGTGTCTGCACCTCCAGTTAATGATACTTCCTTTAATTTTTCATTATCCCCGAAGCCAGAGCCATTGGTCACTATCACTACAGAGTCATCGGTATCTCCTCCTCCAGAACCACTCATCCCTGGTACAGAGTCACCAGACTCTCTTCCTTTGC